AATATATAGGGAAGGAGATCAGCTCTCTGGGTCTGACCTTGGTCCAAGAGATGACGATACCTCCTATGAACCTAATTCTGGACTTCGGGGTGTGTCCTGCCCCCCATTTCAAGGGAAGATGTTTTTTTGAGAGGTGTCTCTTACCAGAACCCCTGGCTGACCCATCAACACTGTAAAGGAAATCGGCCAAGCTTCTACTAGTTAGAGAGAAAGATTCCAGTTCCCCCAGTGCTGTCTTACGCATATGGAGGAGTCGGAGATGGTCTTTCAATGGTCTCGTATTTGAGTGATACTTGATAAGAGGGTGGTGGCAAAACCAGCCCCTTGCTGTAAATCAAACCTGGGTGTGTCTCTTTGCTTGTGCATGGGGCGTCATCCTGGAGGTCCCAAAACGTTTTGGAAAAATACACTTAAAGGGTCATGGTTTGGGTTCATTGATTTTCATCCAACTATCTGTATGTCTAAAGAGAGCCTGGTTTGATTGCCACTGTAATAATTTCTTTATCATGTTTGAATTATTATGTGGATTATAATTAATGCACATTTCTGTAAGGTTTGACACATTTTTCATAAGGGAAAATCAAGTCTGGAATTTCAAAGTGGAAATTACAAACTTCAGAAGCATTTTTTAATCTCACATACACTGCACGTTTTTAATTTCCTGTTAAAGTAATGATGGACTGTCGTTTCTCTTTGCTTATTTGAGCTGTTCTTGCCGTAATATGGACTTGGTCTTTTACCAAATAGGGCTATCTTCTGTATACCACCCCTACTTTGTCACAACACAACTGATTGGCTCAAACGCATTAAGAAGAAAATAAATTCCACAAATTAACTTTTAAGAAGGCACACCTGTTAATTGAAGTGCATTCCAGGTGACTAGCTCATGAAGCTGGTTGAGAGAATGCCAAGAGCGTGCAAATCTGTCATCAAGGCAAATATAACATATATTTTGATTTTTTTAACATTTCTTGGTTACTACATGATTCCATATGTGTTATTTCATAGTTTTGATGTCTTCACTATTACTCTACAATGTATAAAAATAAAAATAAAACTTGAATGAGTATGTGTGCAAACTTTGGACTGGTACTGTATATACTTCCCATAGAGAAGCTGTACACACACAGAGAATACATACTGTACACTGATAAAGGTGGAGGGGAGGCCATTATTTATTAAGTCAAATGTCAAATGACACCGCTGGTCCTGCTCACACTGCTCTACCCTATGCTTTGACTTCTTTCTCCCCTCTCTCTCCAGATGAAATCTTGCGACTTGTGACGGCCGGCCGCCCAACAACCTGCCCGCTTGACCCTATCCCCTCCTCTCTTCTCCAGACCATTTCCGGAGACCTTCTCCCTTACCTCACCTCGCTCATCAACTCATCCTTGACCACTGGCTATGTCCCTTCCGTCTTCAAGAGAGCGAGAGTTGCACCCCTCCTCAAAAAACCTACACTCGATCCCTCCGATGTCAACAACTACAGACCAGTATCCCTTCTTTCTTTTCTCTCCAAAACTCTTGAGCGTGCCGTCTCTAGCCAACTCTCCTGCTATCTCTCTCAGAATGACCTTCTTGATCCAAACCAGTCAGGTTTCAAGACTGGTCATTCAACTGAGACTGCTCTTTGTGTCATGGAGGCTCTCCGCACTGCTAAAGCTAACTCTCTCTCCTCTGCTCTTATCCTTCTAGACCTATCTGCTGCCTTTGATATTGTGAACCATCAGATCCTCCTCTCCACCCTCTCCGAATTGGGCATCTCCGGCGCTGCTCACTCTTGGATTGCGTCCTACCTGACAGGTCGCTCCTACCAGGTGGCGTGGCGAGAATCTGTTTCCGCACCATGTGCTCTCACCACTGGTGTCCCCCAGGGCTCAGTTCTAGGCCCTCTCCTATTCTCTCTATACACCAAGTCATTTGGCTCTGTCATATCCTCACATGGTCTCTCCTATCATTGCTATGCAGACAACACACAATTAATTTTCTCCTTTCCCCCTTCTGATAACCAGGTGGCGAATCGCATCTCTGCATGTCTGGCGGACATATCAGTGTGGATGTCGGATCACCACCTCAAGCTGAACCTCGGCAAGACAGAGCTGCTCTTCCTCCCGGTGAAGGACTGTCCGCTCCATGATCTCGCCATCACGGTTGACAACTCCATTGTGTCCTCCTCCCAGAGTGCAAGGAACCTTTGCGTGACCCTGGACAACACCCTGTCGTTCTCTGCTAACATCAAAGCGGTGACCCGATCCTGCAGGTTCATGCTCTACAACATTCGCAGAGTACGACCCTACCTTACACAGAATGCGGCACAGGTCCTAATCCAGGCACTTGTCATCTCTCGTCTGGATTACTGCAACTCGCTGTTGGCTGGGCACCCTGCCTGTGCAATTAAACCCCTACAACTTATCCAGAACGCTGCAGCCCGTCTGGTGTTCAACCTTCCCAAGTTCTCTCATGTCACCCCGTTCCTCCGCACACTCCACTGGCTTCCAGTTTAAGCTCGCATCTACTACAAAACCATGGTGCTTGCCTACGGAGCTGTGAGGGGAACGGCACCTCCTTACCTTCAGGCTCTGATCCTACACCCAAACGAGGGCACTACGTTCATCCACCTCTGGCCTGCTAGCCGCCCTACCTCTACGGAAGCACAGTTCCCGCTCAGCCAGGTCAAAGCTATTCACTGCTCTGGCACCCCAATGGTGGAACAAGCTCCCCCATGACGCCAGGACAGCGGCGTCACTGACCACCTTCCGGAGACACTTGAAACCTTACCTCTTTAAGGAATACCTGGAATAGTATAACAGTAATCCTTCTAATAATAATAATAATAATATGCCATTTAGCAGACGCTTTTATCCAAAGCGACTTACAGTCATGCGTGCATATATTTTTTTTTTGTGTATGGGTGGTCCCGGGGATCGAACCCACTACCTTAGCGTTACAAGCGCCGTGCTCTACCAGCTGAGCTACAGAGGACCAGCTTCTACCCCCCCCCCCCCCCTCCCCCACCTCACCATAAAAAAAAGGGTGGTTGTCCCACTGGCTATCCTAAGTTGAATGCACCAATTTGTAAGTCGCTCTGGATAAGAGCGTCTGCTAAATGACTTAAATGTCAAATGTAATTATCCTAATCTCTTCAACCTTCTGTGGTTTCTTTGGCACTCACCATGGCGACACTTCCTGCAAAGAACAGAACACTTGGGTTAGGTTGCACCACAGACATTTTATTAGCGTGTGGTTTAGATAGAAGCTGCAGGTTGGGTTACTGTACACTTGGTGGCCTCGGAATTCCGTCTGATATCATTCTATATGATCAGTTTACTAAACTATCTCAGCAGATGACACTGTTAATTATGCATTAATTGGGGCCTGTGTAACTTAAGTGATTATTTGGTTTAAAAACAATTCCCAATGCATTTCATAGACAGGAATGTCTTTAGGTGATGCCAATTCATATTATATGCTACTAATATAAATCCCTATTGATTTATGCTTGGGCATGTTCTGTACACATATAAAGCAGTCATGGAGTATCTCATTTGGACTAGATCTTATTTCAATCAGATCCAAATGCAAAGAACACACATCAGTTTCAATGGGGAAAAGTCCACTTTAAACAGTTTACTTCAAGCCTTGATGTCCTCTGTGCTTGGAATATTTAAGCCTCTGGTCAGTTTGAAATACATTCATAATTACAATAAGAAAAGAGAGACATTTGAGATGGACATGTCAGTGGTTTTATTTGATGAGTGACATAAAACATCCGTATTTTACATATTTTTCATGCCTTGAGTATTTCGACACTGTTCGCCATCAGAAAATGTTCATGTTGTAAGTTAATGACTGTGTATTCGTTTACAGCCCCAGTACGGGGAAAGGACGGAACACTAATGACTGTGTATTCGTTTACAGCCCCAGTACGGGGAAAGGACGGAACACTAATGACTGTGTGTTCGTTTACAGCCCCAGTACGGGGAAAGGAGGGAACACTAATGACTGTGTGTTCGTTTACAGCCCCAGTACGGGGAAAGGACGGAACACTAATGACTGTGTATTCGTTTACAGCCCCAGTACGGGGAAAGGAGGGAACACTCAAATATATTTGGCTGTAGTACTACTGTCAGGAGAACACACTATTTCTGTTCATTGATTTATGTATTGATGGCAACTTACACACTAGTTGACCTACTCTGTTGCACTCTGCATCACATACGAATGAATGATTTTGTGGATGTGTTGATAAAGTCCACTATATTTCAGAAGACATTGATATAGTTTGCTTAACAAATTGATGATCAAGACAGTTGACTATACTGTATCACGAACAATTGATAATACATCATCTTATAATAACAACTCCTTATATAAGCCATATTATGTACAAATGTCAAACATTTCAGCTTGTAGTTTATGTGTAATGACTAATGATTGAAAAAGCCCTCTGAAGTATAAGTGCTTGATGATAGATAATGTTTCACACTTTACCAGTCTATACTGGGCACAGATTAGATGACAGTTTGTCCTAGCCACTGTGCTTCTATGTCTGCGTTGCTTGCTCTTTGGGGTTTTAGGCTGGGTATCTGTAAGCACTTTGTGACAACTGCTTCATAAAATACATTTGATTGCTTGATTGAGGACTTGCTTATGCCCTCGGGACAGTGGTAGAATGGTCATATGGTGACAACAATTTATAATGTTGCAATCGCATCCAAACAGAAAACCCATTATCATTCACTGTTTATGTTTAGTAATTCACAAAGGCATTTCCCATTATAGTAAAAAGCATATGGATACAGAATACATAATTGCCTTAATTTTGGATGAATGTAAAAAATGTAGTAAGCAATTGTGTGTAGCATATTTTGCACAATGTATCAGAGAAATCAGTGATCATGAAAAATGCCTGTTTTGTTTCTTCCTCCAGGCCCGTAGATGTCACTCACACACTCAGCCAAGGTGGAAAATGTGTAGTTATCGTTGTCTGTTTTCTTCTTCATGAGTTTTGACTGCGCACTCCATGGCGGTGTCCTCCATGGTGTCATTGTAGGGAGGTTGAATATCAATAAAATAAGAACTAGCTCTTCATAACCATGACTGGTTATACAGCAGATGAAAAGCTCCGCGTAGAGCAGATTTCAAACCTCAGGAGGAAATGGCTGAAGGACCAAGAGCTCAGTCCCAGAGAGCCGGTGCTGCCAAAGACAGCACTCGGGCCTGTGGCGAAATTCTGGGCTGGCTTTCTGGAACCGAAGACCCTGTGGAGGCTTTACGTGAGTTCATCATTTTGACATTTTCTTGTAATATATCTCAACAAACAACACTGTGTGAATTGGTTTAGAATGACTAACTAGCTAGCGTTTGTGATAGCTACGTGCTATGTTTTTGTTTGGAGACGTCGGGTGTTACTCTTTACTAGCTAGCCTACTAGCTAGCCTAGCCAGTTGCATGGGTCGTCACTAGTTACCATAGTTGCATGTTTACACTCTCGTGACAGACAGGTTGTGATGCCAGTCCGCATCTGTGCCAGTGCCAACCTGAATGTAACATAGCTACTGGCATGTTGCTAACTAGTACTGAGAAAACTGCATCAACTGTTATCAGCAAGAAATCAACAAAACCAGATACCACCTGTTAACATTTTGTGACACACGTCCCTATTGTGTTGCTTTCTTTCCAGACCTACAAAGTCTACACTGGTGGAGTGTTCACCTTGACCCGGTTGCTGATCCCTGCCTGGGTTGTACATTATTACGTGAAGTATCATGTTGCTGTAAGTTCAATCAATTCAACACCAACAATACTGTTGTCTTTTCATTCATGTAGTAACGTTGTTGTTAGGCAACACTGTTCCTGGAGTGTTGCAGGTACTTCAGGATTTTGGCCCTACCAGACACCACCGGATTCTTCCAACCACCTCACAGGCCTAATTGGTTCAATTCAACACACCTGGCCTCCCAGGTCTAAATCAAACATGAAATGCCAGGCTGAGTCACTCCAGAACCAGCGTTGCTAATGCCTACCCCTGACCTAGGCCTAGACGGACTGGTCTTGATTTAAAAGGCTGAGACCTAATGGTCAAGAGGACTGATCATGTGTTTGACCTTATAGCTACACTTGGCTTTTCAAAGTTTATTGTGCTCCGATTTATGAAATGTTATTATACAGTAGTGGATTGCAGGTTTGAGCCCTGTGTGTTGGTGTTCATTCACTATACCTGCTCTATCGAAAGTTGTATCATGCATGTGTCATAGAGTCTTCAATTCAATCTAAAGCATTGACCTGTACTGCTTGTGTGTTTGTCACAGAAAAGGCCCTATGGCATCGTGGAGCTGAAGCCCAGACTGTTCCCTGTAAGTACATATCATGTGTTGTTATAGGAACATGATTAAGCCTAGTCCTCGACAAAAAAGCACATACAATGAAGAATCTCCATTGTAAGTGCTTTTTAGTCCAGAACTGCGATTAATCTGTGTCTGTGAAACTGGCTCTTAGTGTTACACAGTGGATTCACTGCCCACTGGGCAAAAACTGGTTGAATCAACATTGTTTCCATGTCATTTCAACAACAAAAATTCAAATGTTATGATGTTCAATCAACATGGAAAACTGATTGGTTTTGCAAAAAGTCATTAACGTAAGGGAATTTCATATTTTTTTAACCTAAATGACTGGGTGACATTTTTGGTTGATTTCACATTGAATTCACGTTAGCTGACAACTCAACCGACTGTAAATCAAAACTAGATGTTGAACTGACATCAGTGCCCAGTGGGTGGGCTGTATTGCTTATATATTTATTTACACAAATGCATGTGCCACAATGGTGCAGTTTACAGTAAAGAAAACTGAATTGCAGTGCGGCTTACATAAAATAAGCTGCACTGAAATTGTGGCCTACTACGGTAACATAAAATAATATATGCCATTTAGCTGACGCTTTTATCCAGGCGACTTAGTCATGCGTGCATTTTGCATATGCGCAGTCCTGGGAATTGAACCCACTACCCTGGCGTTTCAATAGTCACGCTCTACCAACTGAGCTACAAAGGACCACAAAAGCCCTGGATGCCCAGACAGCTTTCCTAGACTTTGTAATGAAAGAGTAAGGACATCTAGCATCTGACTCTTTTTCATTATCCCTGTCTTGTGTTCAGGGCGACACCATCTTGGAGACGGGAGAGGTTGTTCCAGACCTCCCAGAGAGCCATGGTCACCACTGAAGAAGACGCAGTTGAAAGAATGACACAATGTCTTTTTGTCCCTACCCTGTTGTAAAAACTTTATGTATATGTCATTAAATAATATTTACAATACAAATACATCTCTGACATGTCTATTTGGTCAAAAGATTGGGGAAAAGAGTGCTGCATTTATTTGAGTAATTCACATCTGGTGTCCAAAACAAGAGCTTTGCAAACAATTTGACACAATTAACCAATAGTGTAACCAAACTCACAATCATAGTTGAGGTTTGTATATTATGGATGGCTATGGTTTATTAGTATACTACTGTCTAATTTATGTCCAGTTTAGGTTAATTTCAAGCTAATTCACCCTCTGTGTTAAAAGTTCCTGTCAATAGGTGGCGCACGAGACCATAAAAGTACTTCCTGCCAAAGCGGAAGGTAAACACCCTCCAGTATACCATAATCCTTTGCGTATGAAATATATTTTTTAGCGTTACGTCACGGTATGAAACAGGAGGCCAAAGAGTGTGGGAACAAACTAATTAATTTACTTCTGTTTAGTACATATGGAAATAATAAAATATGTAAACATTATGAGAGGTCTTGAGTGTTGTCGCCGACAGAAGGATTCCTAGACATTTGCCTCGGATCCCCGGCTTTTTTTTCTGGTAAGCAAAGGGCCGAAAGATGGCTAGCTAAAAGCTAGCTTGCTAATTTACCAAAGATGTCATTCATCACAATTCAGATTTACAAACATGTCATGAATAACAGTATATAATTACTTGTCAGGATTATCGGTCAGAGATTGGGGCCAAAGTCAACCATTATGAGTGTCCACTGTCCAACCTTAGATGAGTCAGAACGGCTAGCTGCTAAAAAAGTTAACTATCGAGCTAGCTAACATTAACCTTTCCAAGTAAAAGACAAGTTCAGGTAATATACATGGGAAATTATTGGGCTTTATTATAATTTCATGACTGTGGTGGGGTAATTGTAAAATTCTGTGGAAATTGATTGACACTCATTTTGCCATCTGTGGTCAATGTGGCTGAATGGCATTGACACAGTCAGCTGTGACCCCTGTACATTCTTTATATTATTATTATAGTTTTCTGATGATGTAACACATTGGATAATGACAACATGTTTAGATGCTTATCTTGCAAAATTCTTCCCTGTTTGCAGGTTGAATTAATACCTTTGAAATGATGTGTAAGGTTGTGTAGATGAAATAGTTGTCTCTGCATCTGCCAATGGGCCTGACTAGTGACAGTATAACATCAATAAAGTTTTGAACAAAGTCAGTGCTGTGTTGTGTCCCTTCTTTATTGAAAACACTGTTTAACACAAGGCTATATTTTCTTCCCAAGACTATCACCATGGCAGCAGCAAAGATGACCTTACGGCTACGCAAGAAGAGTGCCCCGGACAAGGCCTCTGACAAGACCTCTGAGGTTTTGTCTGCCGAGGCGTCTCCTGACTCCAAGTGCCCCATCTGTCTGGACCGATTCAACAACATGGCCTGCCTCGATCTCTGCTTGCACAAGTTCTGCTTCCGCTGCATCCACGAGTGGTCCAAGAACAAAGCCGAGTGCCCTCTATGCAAGCAGCCTTTCAACTCTATTTATCACAGTATACAATCAGAGAAGGACTTCAAGAAGTATGACCTGCGACCCATGGAGAACGGTTCCTTTGGCAGTTTCGCAGGGGAACGGTTCCGCTACCGCACCACGCTGACGGGGGCGCGTCGGCAGAACCAGAGAAGGACATCCCCTCCCCCTGACAACGGGGTCATGTTCGAGGCCTTAACGGGGGCTTCCCCCCCTCCCCGGCAGGACCGAGGCCTCCGCCACATGATGGCGCGCCTGGCGGCCAGGAGGCGGGCAGAAAGTGAGGGCCGGACCGTGCGCAGCCTCCGTGAGCAGGAGATGATCAAGTTCAGACGGGCGCTCTACCGGCGAGGGGTGCGAGTGCGGAGCGTGCGGGACGGCGGCCGTTCCCGGGACATCTCGGCTGAGTTCTTCCAGAGGAACCCGGCCTGCCTGCACCGCCTGTTGCCCTGGCTGAAGAGGGAGCTGGCGGTGCTGTACGGGGCTCACGGGTCCCTGGTCAACATCGTGCAGCACATCATCATGTCCCGTATCACCCGCTATGACATGGAGGACCGGGCCATCCAGGAGGAGCTGCAGCCCTTCCTCCAGGCCCGCACCGAGCACTTCCTGCACGAGTTTGTCAACTTTGCCCGAGCACCCTTCAACATGGAGGCCTACGACCAGCATGCCGTCTACGACTGCCCTGCTCCGTCCTCGGACGAGGGCAGCAGCTCCAACTCCTCTGTGATCGCCATCTCAGAGGATGAGGAGGAGGGCGATTCTGTGGAGCTGGACCCCCCGGGAGACCCCATGTCCGGGGGCGCCCTGAGCCAGACAACATGGGACGACGAGACGCCCGGACCTTCGTACTCCACTACAGAACCCACCAGGGGCCTGCTGCTATCAATCAGAGACTCAGACTCAGAGAGCAGTGCGGGGGAGGAGTGTGGAGCAGTGTCACAGCCAAAGGCCCCTCGCCTGACTGCGGACTCTGCTCTGGTGAAAACCGACAAGGACAGACCGGCTTGTACTTCTGGCGATGAGGATTGCGTCATCGTTGGCTTTGTAAAACCCCTGGCTGAAAGGACTCCAGAGCTGGTCAAGCTGTCCTCTGACTCAGAGGAGTCTGTTCTGGAGGAGAGCAAAGACGAAGTGCCCAGGCTGCCGCAACACATCCGCTTCACCAGCCTTAGCCCCACCTCCTCTCAGGGCCAATGTCCTGGGAGGGCAGAGGGGGCGGAAAAGGAGCAAGATGGATGGTGCTCCAAGGAGAGACGTAACACCTCACCCTCAATTAGACCTGAGTCATCATCCAGCAAAAACAGGGGACTGACTGAGAAAGATGTCAGGAGATGTCACAGTCGCGATAGATCTAGAGAGAGGCCACAGTTGAGAAGCAGAGACCGGAGGAGGAGGTCCAGGAGCGCCGACCGCAGCCGCTCGACCAAGAGCCCAGCCATCTCCATCAACAGCGACAGCACTGTGTCCAGAGGCAGGAGGCAGTCGCGGTCCCAAAGCCGCGACCGCTCCCACACTAAAGGGGAAAAGAAGGACAATAAAGATGGCAGCCGATCAGGCCGCAGCCGCGACTCATCGTCGCACTCCTATCACTGGCACTACTACAGCCGGGAGAGTGAGAGGGACAGCAGCGCAACACTCTACACGGAGAGGAGGTCCTACTACTCCAGCTCACACAGGAACCCCGATTGCAGGTCCCGATCCCGGAGCCAGAGTCGTGATTCCCACCGGCGGGATAAGAGGCGCTCCAGAAGTCATTCCAGCACCTGTTCGCCTTCCGGCGCTCACAGGAAGTCTCGTCACGAGAAGCCCAGCGGGAAGAGAAAGTACAAAACGAGACACCTGGAGGAACCTGCCCCTAAAGACCAGTCCTCCAAAGCCCTCGACGAGCCTCCCTCCTCCAACGCCTCGTCCTGCGTGAAAGACAAGAAGAAGAGCAAAGAGAAGCGTCACAGGACGTCCAAGGAGAAGTCGGGAGGGAAGAGGAGCAGGAGCCTCAGCGTGGAGATCATCTTTGAGGGCAGCTCCTCGGAGCAAACCAGGAAGCACCACAAGAAGAAGAAGAAGCACAAGAAGAAGAACAAGAGGCACAGGAGCAAGGAGCGCACAGGGTCGGGGAAACACTCGCCCACCGTCATCACCATAGACAGCGACAGTGACCAACATACTCCCGCAGGCGCTAACGATGCTAACCACACCTGCCCGGTAAGCAGCAGCACTAGCAACGACGTGCTAGTGCCTAGCACAACCACCACTACAGGCAACCCTGCAGACTCTGGCCTGCTGGAGTCCATGTTACAAGACTGGGAACAGCAGATTCCACCTGTGGGTCTGGACAATGGAGTGGTGGAGGCCAGGCCTGCTTTAGCTGCTGCTGCTGACACTGACACACCCACACATAGGGAGGAGGTTCTGTCCCAATCTGCCTCTGCGGATGAGGTGGACTCTCATAGCCCTTCAAATGACAACACAAGTCATTCTTTGGAAGAATCATAATGCTGGCCCCGGTGGGTAGGAAGACATTTTATTTACCTTTTAAAAGTGAGTTTTACACTTCACTATGTAGGACATTTGATTAAAAAGTTGATGTACTGTTCTACCAAAAGGTGCACTTTCATTTGGGATGTGCCACTTTGGTGTATGAGAAAACAAAAAGGGGGGAAAATATTGGTTTTGATGTCTTATTTACAGTGAGAGGCTCCTGTCCATAAGGCCTACAAAGGTATTTGTATAAAATACTTCAACTCATTTCTTATCAGTCATTCATTTCTATGCATCAATCTCAGGGATAACATGGGCTAAAAAGCTGACAGCTTGTACCGTCGTCTTGAAACCAAACATTTTTTCTACCTGCTTATCATGTAGCCTGATGGATAACTGCTCTTAATACTAGCCACTAAATCAATATGGGAGTGGGAATGTGAAAGACTGTTGTTGGAACTGTGGAGTTGTAAATAGTAATAAACGTTTCTAAACTGAAATCAACAGCTCATATGACGCATTGGCCAGTGGCTTTTGGAGGCCACATATGTCATGGTTTCTGTCTGTTATTTCAGTGAATATTTGCCTGAGTGTGCATCCTTTAATGTGGCTGGCGTCAGTGGTGGGAAAAAGTACCCAATTGTCATACTTGAGTAAAAGTATAGATACCTTAATAGAAAATGACTCAAGTAAAAGTGGAAGTCACCCAATAAAATACTACTTGAGTAAAAGTATTTGGTTTTAAATATACTTCAGTATCAAAAGTAAAATTATAAATCATTTCAAATTCCTTATATTAAGCAAAGCAGACGGCACCATTTTCTCTTGTTAAAATGTAATGTAAATAAGTGTGTGCATTTCACATTTTTCAAAATGTAACGAGTACTTTGGGTTGTCGGGGAACATTTATGGAGGAAAAATGACAATATTTTCTTTAGGAATGTAGTGGTAAAAGTAATAAAAAATATAAATAGTGAAGTAAAGTACAGATCCCCCAAAAAACTACTTAAGTAGTACTTTCAAGTATTTTTATTAAGTACTTTACCCCACTGGCTGACGTGAGAGTTATAGATCCTTACAGATGCTACTACTGATTAAGATGCTAACACATTACTCATGCTGATTATTGAGTGATGAATGAAGACCCTAAGAACATCAACTTGCCAATGGTGCAATAACAAAACTATTGAAAGTAAGACGTATCATGTGTTTATGTCCCCATTAGATTAGGCTTCTGATCTGAGTGGGCGTGGTTGCTTTTCACTAGATATTTGATAGGATGCTGCTAAACTGTAGGGACAAGACTGGAGACCAGGAAATGAAACCTAAATAGGCATGATTCACCTGAAGTCAGGAATTGAAACCTAAGCGCCAGGTTTCCTAAGCATATGGGGTATTACTGCATTTATCTGGCAGCAGCAGGTAAGAACGGTCTCATCTGTTTTTCTAGACACATTAATGGACAATTAACTGAGATACATGATACTGTTATAATGTTGTAAATACTATAGTAATTCAGCATATTCTGAATTATTATTCAAACATTACTATTTGGTGTAACCGTTTCAGCCAAAGGACTCTTCAATTAATATGTAGCTTAATTGTGCATTGTATGGGCTTCTATTACAGCTAATTTCAGCAGAAGCATATTCAACTACAGTTTGGTTACTATGGATGTTAACCCTGACTCCCCATACTACATCAACTTGCTTGACAGCAAGACTCATCCTGAAGATCACAGAGAATATGTGATGTTTCATGGCTGCTCAAAAGAGGGCGCAGAGTTGATTAAGAGGGATGGCTTCAAACCATCAAGAGCAGATAGCATGCTTGGAGCTGGTGTTTATGTTTCTCGGGACATCCGAAAAGCCAGTAAATACCCTCTTGGTGTTCCCGACTCTGAGAAAAGAGTACTAAAAGTCAGAGTGGATGTAGGGAAGGTTAAGATCATAGACAAGCAGGGTCACCCCATGCAGAAGACATGGCACACTGCATGGCTTTGACACTGCCTGGGTTCCTCCTAATGTTGGCATGGTACTGTGTAACCAGGAGGAGGACTGTGTCTACGACCCAAAGAGAATCAAAGTAATCGAGGTCATGAAGGTTACTGAAGATAACTTGTAAGTATGAAAAAGACTGCACTCTTTTCAAGAAACCTAAAGGGATAATCCACCCCAAACCAAGAATTCCTATGATTGGCGCGTTCTAGCATTATTTGCATATTCCCATTAGGGAACGCCCACGCTGAAGTGCGCGTGTACAATAACTAAATTCGCCCTTGCACTCCTCAACATTTTTCGAAACTTCGGCAAAAGCTAGTCTACAAAACTTAGTCCACTCTGTTTGTTACAGAGTGTAGTTTTGAAAACATAAAACTGTAATGAGTTAAAATGTTTCATCGATGAGAAAATGTGTAGAATGTCGTCCAAAATTCCATCTCGCTCCATCTTCTCCTACTGCCGGCGACTGGGCTTCCTCTCATCACCATATTTGGTAGTGAGTGGAAACCAACCGAATGCTTCACATTTATACATCCGGTGAAATATCTGGCTCATTATTCTATCTGTGATCATACCCAGTCAATGTCAGCGTGTAATGGTGCTAGCTAGCTGTAAAATCGCCTAAACAAACTGCACTATCAATTTAGGAGTCTATCTCACCCATTTCAATTTGCAGTTCATCTCTGCCCAGAGCAGTACGGAGTACGTTGTTATGGCAACAACGGCCCTTTCCCACGTTTCCCAAGGACACACACAGGGCACATTGCGAGATGGTACTCGAAAAAACTGAGTTGAATAATTTGGTACACTGTTTAGATTGAGCACATCTAAGCGAATATATATACTTTGTCGTGATTATATAAATGGATGGGTGTGTTTAGACAAGTATGCCCGTACCATCTATTGGCTGATTTGGCGATCTGGAGTGCAGGTGATTGTTTTAAAAGTGTTATAAAATGTGATAGTGTATTATCCCCTATCTGCAGTGAGGAGAACCATATGATGCGTTCCTACACGATTTCCTGATTTCACAGACGGACCACTTAGAAAAATTGTTTTTTCACCCACTGATAAAACATAGTCTTTCACCAAATTGACAGCAGTTTCATGATATTTATTATCCCTTTAAAGATAGAATATCTTACAATTTGAAATGATGTATAGGCCTACTGAATCCAATATACTTTATGTAAACAAAATGGTCTCCCTGTCTTACAGATCTCAATATGATCATCTTCAGAGTGGAGTCACCCCTGAGGACAGCCACGTCTATGTGATGTATCATGGAACATCAAAACAGATTGCTGTGGAAATACAGAGAAATGGCTTCAAACCATCCAGAGATGGTATGCTTGGTGCCGGTGTCTACCTCAGTCGAGACATCCAAAAAGTCATTAGATACCCCCTCAACATTCCTGACTCTGATAGGATGGTTCTGAAAGTAAAGGTGGATGTAGGCAGGGTTAAGGTGATAGACAGGCAGAGACATCCCATGCAGAAGACCTGGCACACTGAGCATGGTTTTGACACTGCCTGGGTTCCACCTGGAGTTGGCATGGTGCGGAGCAACCAAGAGGAGGACTGTGTTTTCGACCCAAAGAGAATCAAAGTGTTGGCAATGCTGAAAGTGCCCAACTTAAAAATGTAAGTGATATTGAGCCACAGTCCCCTATAACAACTAGACAAAAGTAGTACTATGCTTGCAAACAAAATAAAGCAATCATTAATAATTTTCCAAGAAAGGCTTGAAAGAGTTCTTGATACCAGCGCATACGCTATGCTTACCCCACTTTATGCAGGTTATGATTGAGACATTTTGTATTTAATTCTCTTTCCCCAGTGTAAACCCATGGTTGAACAATCCACTGCAAAACTGATGGTGTTCTGCACTCATGGTCATCAGAAGAGGATGGTTCGAATCAGACGGTCCCGCATGATGCAGATCATCGGAAGAAGAAGCTATATTTCGCAATAGGCCTACTGATGATTTGACATGGCAATCTATATGCAATCAATCATAACCTTATCATATCAAATATTTTTTAAATACAATAAATAATATTTACTTGATGTCAATAATATATGTGTATCAATGATCATACGTTGTTATATAAAAATGATTTTCTTCCTATAATAAATCTATAAAAGTTCCCCACATTGTCTGAGTGTGTTTCCCTTTCCCCCTCGAATATCCAATCAGTTAATCAGCAAGATAAAAGGGAAAGTAGCCTTTACTTCCTTCTGATTGGCCGTGGCCATCCCCTTGAGAAACTACATTTCGCCAGTACGGTTTATGATTATGTTTGTGCGCACTTGAAATGAATGGTGGTGTTCCTGCCCTACAAATTCCAGATCTTACAACAGCAGGCTAAGTGTTTAATATATCAGATAACCCAATGATTTCTATATACACCAGTGGAGGCTCCTCAGAGGAGGAAGGGGAGGACCATCCTCCTCAGTGAATTCCATACAATTTTTTATTGTAAAACATTTAAAAATGTATCCTTTTTAGATAAAACGACACTAAATATAATCACGTCACCAAATAACTGATTAAAACACACTATTTTGCAAAGAAGGTCTACAGTAGCCTCAACAGCACTCTGTAGGGTAGCACCATGGTGTAGCTACCCTACAGAGCTAGCTTGTGGTTCTCAACCCCTTCCACAGACTTCCACAGTAATTATGACAACTTCCAGAGGACGTCCTCCAGCCTATCAGAGCTCTTGCAGCTTGAACTGACATGTTGTCCACCCAATCAAAGGATCAGATAATTAATCTAGTACTGAAAGCATAAACTACAGCTAGCTAGCACTGCTGTGTATAAAATGTGGTGACTAGTTGACTCAAAGAGAGAGAATGACAATAGTTTAACAGTTTTGAACAAATTATTTTTTTCCAAAATGAAGGAAAAGCAAGAGAGAAATAGAGAGAGTGTCATTTTTTTTCACTTTCAGTTTCACTTACTTAGCTAGCAAATGCAGCTAGCTAGTTTAGCCTACTGAAACACCCTGCTCAAACAGAGGGATACTATGTTAGCTAGCTGGCTATGACTTTCTGATACAACACTGGAACTCTTCCAAGTCAAGGTAAGCTTTTGGTATTACTAATTTATTGCCACCGCGGCCCGCCAGTGTAACTGCTTACTGACTGTACACTGTAGGGTTACTGCATGATTGTAGCGGGTTTACTAACGCGTTAGTTCTATTAGCTATGCTGACTATGACGTTACTTTAGCTAATATGGTGACAACGATGTAGGCTGTGCGTAGCGGTTTGGCTTGGAAATGTTTTTTCGCCTGGTCACATACAGCTGATGTGTTGTACATTGACGTCCACAAGCGAAGGGAAGAGGTGAGAGAAGGAGAGTGCATAGATGCGAAAAGGAATACAACGTGGCTGCCAGATAGATGCAGGCAAGAGTGACAAATGTGTCTCTCGACCTGTGTGCACCTATGTTGTAAACTTTCATTCATAGGCTAGGTTGTGGCAACCTCATGATGAGTATAGGGAAAATTCGAGTATCATGTAGTAGCCTAAACCTATCGCTGTTACATTGAACTGGGTGAATGGAATATGAATGAGAGTCATCTGATATGCTGTAATAGAAATAAGGCCATGCTCAGGAGAATAAAAAAATCGTCCTCCCTCATCTTAAACGGCACCGACCGCCACTGATATACACCATTGAGCTAACCACATAATGTGATTTAGCAATTTGACCATTGGTTGATGCAATGCAACATCTGTGCATCTATTCGGGAAGGAACACCACCAACACCTGTGATGTCAGTGATCTTCAGGGCGGAGAAGTCGGAGCGCTAGGATGATGCAGTCATTTCTAGACGGGTTACAGTTTGTCATTTTGACTTAAAAAGTTGTTTTTTTTTTGCATTTAGTTAACCCCAACACTAACCCTTTTCCTAACCTTAACCTAATTATCCTAACCTGCTACGTTAATTATCCTATCCTGCTGCTTAAGTTCTCCTAAACCTGCTACGAAAAGTCAATTGAACACAAAAGCTGTATCCCTTCTAGACAAAACCGGTTGATGCCGGAGTTTCCGACTTCTAATTCCGAGTTGGATGACCGTTCAAAACTATTTCCCAGTTGGAGCGCGTTTTTTTATTTATTGTGTGATAAATGAAGACCCTAAGAACATCAACTTGCCAATGGTGCAATAACAAAACTATAGAAAGTAAGACGTATCGTGTTTATGTCCCCATTAGATTAGGCTTCTTATCTGAGTGGGCGTGGTTGCTTTTCACTAGATATTTGATAGGATGCTGCTAAACTGTAGGGACAAGACTAGAGACCAGGAAATGAAACCTAAATAGGCATGATTCACCTGAAGTCAGGAATTGAAACCTAAGCGCCAGGTTTCCTAAGCATATGGAGTATTCCTGCATTTATCTGGCAGCAGCAGGTATGAACGGTCTCATCTGTTTTTCTAGACACATTAATAGACAATTAACTGAGATACATGATACTGTTATAATGTTGTAAATACTATAGTAATTCAGCATATGTGATGTTTCATGGCTGCTCAAAAGAGGGCGCCGAGTTGATTAAGAGGGATGGCTTCAAACCATCAAGTGCAGATAGAATGCTTGGAGCTGGTGTTTATGTTACTCGGGACATCCGAAAAGCCAGTAAATACCCTCTTGATGTTCCCGACTCTGAGAAAAGAGTACTAAAAGTCAGAGTGGATGTAGGGAAGGTTAAGATCATAGACAAGCAGGGTCACCCCATGCAGAAGACATGGCACACTGTGCATGGCTTTGACACTGCCTGGGTTCCTCCTAATGTTGGCATGGTACTGTGTAACCAGGAGGACGACTGTGTCTATGACCCAAAGAGAATCAAAGTCATCGAGGTCATGAAGGTTACTGAAGATAACTTGTAGGTATGAAAAAGACTGCACTCTTTTCAAGAAACCTAAAGGGAAAATCCACCCCAAACCATGAATTCCTATGATTGACAGTGTTAAACTGTTAAATAACACTAATATGTGAAAACAGTATTTTTTGTGAACAAATGTTTCAACTGACATTAACTTTGATATGAATCATTGTGCTCAGTATATGTTACACCTTCTTGATGGTACCAGTAGGCCCATGTTAAACGTTTTGATTTTATATACAAATAATGTAAATGACATTTTCATTTGATATTTAAGTGATCAATATTATGCTAGGGATTACACTGACAATGATATTGTATTCCCGATAGAATACAAGGGATTCTGCAGAGTTCTATCAGCTCTGCTGTGTTGATATCAATGGCACAGTGAGAGGAGCTAGCACCCCCTTCTGCTTTAAAACACCAGGGGAACAAAGCACAGACTACAGCCTGGAAAGCAACCTCTTGGTCATCACAACGCAGGAACAATCAAATCCACAATATCTCAAAATCCAAAGATTGTGTTTTGAAGACCATGCTTGAAATACTTACCTTTAAAATGCAGCACTCTGTTTGGATTGCTTAACAGCTGGTCAAGGTGATGATGTTCCTCACAAGAACACATTAGCTCAAATTATCCATAGGAGAGGTTATCTACATGACATGATGTGCATTTCTGAATCTAGGAGCAGGTAGAGTAAAGTGAGAGGGAGAAACAAGAGCTGGTCATGGAGTTGGAGCAACTGAAAGAGCAAAATGCGACTCTGAGAAGTGTCATGAAGAAGCAACAGCGAGAGATTGATCGTCTCAAGGTTCGTTTTCAAGTTGTTTGTTCCAACAGCAGCTCCTTTCTCAACCTTGTCTCAGATACTTTCGTATTGTTCTGTATGTAAATCTGAAACATTTCAGTTAGTATGATATGTTACATTTTGCATGGTATGTATTAATTTGATATGTTATGAATTACAATTCGTATTATATGTTACGCATTAGCAAAAATGACAATATGTTACGAATTTGCGAAACGTACAATATGTTACAAATTTGCTAAAATTATAGCTAGGTGGCTAACATTAGCTAGCTGGCTAATGTTAGCTAGGCTAGGGGTTAGGGTTAAGGTTAGGGTTAAGTTTAGGAGTTAGGTTAAAGGGTTAAGGTTAGGGGAAGGGTTAGCTAAAAGGTTTAAGGTTAGGGGAAGGGTTAGCTGCAAAGTCACTAAAAAGTAGTAAGTTGTTGAAACGTTGCTAATTAGCTAAAATGTTAAAGTTGTCTGTGATGAGATTCGAACTCACAACCTTTGGGTTGCTAGACGTTGCTAGACGTTTGCGTTATATGCCCACCCTGACCAACGACCCTACTTAATTTTTTTGCCTTAAGTATCCATCTGTCTTGTCGTAATATATCATACTAATTTGAGTGTCTATGTTACATCTAGTCTATCAGACCAGGCTGCCTTTCTAGACCCTAGTCATGTGTCAGAATGGAAATAAGAATGTAGAGTCGTGGTCAAAAGTTTTGAGAATGACACAAATATTAATTTTCACAAAGTCTGCTGCCTCAGTTTTTATGATGGCAATTTGCATATACTCCAGAATGTTATGAAGAGTGATCAGATGAATTGCAATTAAGTGCAAAGTCCCTCTTTGCCATGAAAATGAACTTCACCCAAAAAAACAATTCCACTGCATTTCAGCCCTGCCACAAAAGGACCAGCTGACATCAGTGATTCTCTCATTAACACAGGTGAGAGTGTTGACGAGGGCAAGGCTGGAGATCACTCTGTCATGCTGATTGAGTTAGAATAACAGACTGGAAGCTTTAAAAGGAGGGTGGTGCTTGAAATCATTGTTCTTCCTCTGTTAACCATGGTTACCTGCAAGGAAACACGTGCCGTCATCATTGCTTTGCACAAAAAGGGCTTCACAGGCAAGGATATTGCTGCTAGTAAGATTGCACCTAAATCAACCATTTATCGGATCATGAAGAACTTCAAGGAGAGAGGTTCAATTGTTGTTAAGAAAGCTTCAGGGCGCCCAAGAAAGTCCAGCAAGTGCCAGGACCGTCTCCTAAAGTTGATTCAGCTGCGGGATCAGGGCACCACCAGTGCAGAGCTTGCTCAGGAATGGCAGCAGGCAGGTGTGAGTGCATCTGCACACACAGTGAGGCGATGACTTTTGGAGGATGGCCTGGTGTCAAGAAGGGCAGCGAGGAAGCCACTTATCTCCAGGAAAAACATCAGGGACAGACTGATATTCTGCAAAAGGTACAGGGATTGGACTGCTGAGGACTGGGGTAAAGTCATTTTCTCTGATGAATCCCCTTTCCGATTGTTTGGGGCATCTGGAAAAAAGCTTGTCCAGAGAAGACAAGGTGAGCGCCTCCATCAGTCCTGTGTCATGCCAACAGTAAAGCATCCTGAGACCATTCATGTGTGGGGTTGCTTATCAGCCAAGGGAGTGGGCTAACTCACAATTTTGCCTAAGAACACAGACATGATTAAAGAATGGTACCAACACATCCTCAGAGAGCAACTTCTCCCAACCATTCAAGAACATTTTGGTGACGAACAATGCCTTTTCCAGCATGATGGAGCACCTTGCCATAAGGCAAAAGTGATAACTAAGTGGATCGGGGAACAAAACATCGACATTTTGGGTCCATAGCCAGGAAACTCCCCAGATTGTGGTCAATCCTCAAGAGGCGGGTGGACAAACAAAAACCCACAAATTCGGACGAACTCCAAGCATTGATTATGCAAGAATGGGCTGCCATCAGTCAGGATATGGCCCAGAAGTTAATTGACAGCATGCCAGGGCGGATTACAGAGGTCTTGAAAAAGAAGGGTCAACACTGCAAATATTGACTCTTTGCATAAACTTGTAATTGTCAATAAAAGCCTTTGACACTTATGGAATGCTTGAAATTATACCTCAGTATACCATAGCAACATCTGACAAAAATATCTAAAAACACTGAAGCAGCAAATTTTGACCACGACTGTATGTTTTATATACACTACCAGTCTGGACACATCTACTCATTCCAGGGTTTTTCTTTATTTTAACTATTTTTTACATTGTAGAATAATAGTGAAGACATAAAAACTATGAAATAACACTTATGGAATCATTTAGTAACCAAAAAAAGTGTTAAACAAATCAAAATATATTTTATATTTCAGATTCTTCAAATAGCCACCCTTTGCCTTGATGACGGCTTTGCACACTCTTGGTATTCTCTCAACCAGCTTCATGAGGTAGTCACCTGGAATGCATTTCAATTAACAGGTGTGCCTTCTTAAAAGTTTATTTCCTTCTTAATGCGTTTGAGCCAATCAGTTGTGTTGTGACAAGGTGGGGGGTATACAGAAGATAGCCCTATTTGGTAAAATACCATGTCCATATTATGGCAAGAACAGCTCAAATAAGCAAAGAGAAACTACAGTCCATCATTAATAATATGCCATTTAGCAGACGCTTTTATCCAAAGCGACTTACAGTCATGTGTGCATACATTTTTACATATGGGTGGTCCCGGGGATCGAACCCACTACCCTGGCATTACAAGCGCCATGCTCTACCAATTGAGCTACAGAGGACCACATTACTTTAAGACATGAAGGTCAGTCAATACAGAAAATGTAAAGAACTTTGAAAGTTTCTTCAAGTGCAGTCGCAAAAACCATCAAGCGCTATGATGAAACTGGCTCTCATGAGGACCACCACAGGAATGTAAGACCCAGAGTTACCTCTGCTGCAGAGAATATATGCTCATTAGAGTTACCAGCCTCAGAAATTGCAGCCAAAATAAATGCTTCACAGAGTTCAAGTCACAGACACTTCTCAACATCAACTGTTCAGAGGGGACAGTGTGAATCAGGCCTTCATGGTCGAATTGCTGCAAATAAACCACTACTAAAGGACACCAATAATAAGAAGAGACCTACTTGGGCCAAGAAACACGAGAAATTGACATTAGACCGTTGGGAATTTGTCCTTTGGTCTAGAGTCCAAATTGGAGATTTTTGTTTCCAACTGCCGTGTCTTTGTGAGACGTGGTGTGGGTGAACGGATGATCTCCGCATGTGTAGTTCCCACCGTAAAGCATGGAGGATGAGGTGTTATGGTGTGGGGGTGCTTTGCTGGTGACACTGTCTGTGATTTATTTAGAATTCAAGGCACACTTAACCAGCATGGCTACCACAGCATTCTGCAGCAATACGCCATCCCATCTGGTTTGGGCTTAGTGGGACTATCATTTGTTTTTCAACAGGACAATGACCCAACACACCTCCAGGCTGTGTAAGGGCTATTTTACCAAGAAGGAGAGTGATGGAGTGCTGCATCCGATGACCTGGCCTCCACAATCCCCCTACCTCAACCCAATTGAGATGGTTTGGGTTGAGTCGGACCGCAGAGTGAAGGAAAAGCAGCCAACAAGTGCTCAGCATATGTGGGAACTCCTTCAAGACTGTTGGAAAAGCATTCCAGGTGAAGCTGACTGACAGGATGCCAAGAGTGTGCAAAGCTGTCATCAAGGCAAATGGTGGCTATTTGAAGAATCTCAAATATAAAGTATATTTTGATTTGTTTAACACTTTTCTGGTTACTACATGATTCCATATGTGTTATTTCATATTTTTGATGTCTTCACTATTATTCTACAATGTAGAAAATAGTAAAAATAAAGAAAAACCCTTGAATGAGTAGGTGTATCCAAACACATTAGTACAGGTTATGGACTTGATTTGAGCCTTTCTGAATCTAGGAACAGGTGAAGCAAAGTGAAAGGGAGAAACAAGAGGTGCTCATGGAGTTGGAGCAACTGAAAGACCAAAATGAGACTTTGAAAAGTGCCCAGAAGGAACATCAGCAAGGGGTTAACCACCTCGAGGCTTGCTTGCAAGTCGTTTCTTCCAACAGCCCCTAATCAGTGTGAGAGAGGGATGAATTGTATTGTTCCTGTAGGAATCCAAAGAGAAACTGATACAGCTAGAGAGCAAACTGGAGCAACAGAGTTCTAGAGAGCATGAAGAACTTAGCCAGGATTCTAAATCAGTTGATGAATCACAGAGGACAGGCGGTAGCGGTCACAAACCAATTTCCCATTTGGGACTCCAAAAAAAAAACAGTACTACTACAACTAATTATCAGTAGTAGTAAAACAATTTATATAATCTGACAGCTGTAGGCTATACACAATACAGCTGAATACCATCAATGCTTTCAACTTTCTCTCTCTCCTTGTCTTGTTTTTAACTGTTTCTTTCCATGAATGGCTGCAGACTCTGACATCTATTCATGAAAAATATTTGGTGAATATAGTGTCAAAACATGTGCCAGCTGTATGTACTGTATATCATCAAGATTTTCCAATACATCTTCTACTCTTTATTCCACTTTCTCTGCTTCCTTGTCATGTGTCTAACTTGCTATTTCTTGTGACAAATCACTGCAATCTCTGAGCACCATTTCTGAGAAATATGAAATATGTTGATCCAATTCATTCAGCGTCAGAGTACATTCTTTGATGTGAGAAAAATTCATGAAATCTGCAGGAGGCTCGGACACAGTTGCACCAGGAGCGGCAGGCTTCCAACAATACCCGCAGACGTGCAGAGAAAGCCGAGAGGGAACTGGAGGAGGTCAATGAGCGCATGGAGAGCACTTCCATGACGTCTGCTCAGACGAAGCAGAAGAGCAGCAAACTAGAGGTGCATTTATTTTATAAAATAAATAAATGTTGTTGTATTTTACCCCCTTTTTCTCCCCAATTTCAATCTTGTCTCATCGCTGCAACTCACCAACAGGCTCGGGAGAGGCGAAGGTGGAGTCATGCGTACTCCGAAACATGACCCGCCTAACCGCGCTCCTTAACACCCGCCAGCTTATCCCGGAAGCTAGCCTCACCAATGTGCCGGGGTCAGCCTGCAGGCACCTGACCCGCCACAAGGAGTCGCTAGAGCGTGATGAGCCAAGTAAAGCCCCCCTGGCCAAACCCTCCCCTAACCCGGATGACGCTGGGCCAATTGTGCGCCATCCTATGGGACTCCTGGCCACAGCCGGTTGTGGCACAGCCCGGGAATGAACCCGGGTCTGTAGTAACGCCTCTAGCACTGCGATGCAGCGCCTTTGACCGCTGCGCCTAAACTAGAGGTGCTTTAAGGATATCTTCGACTCTATTGAATTTTCCGATCCACCGACAGGGATATGATTTTTGCTTACTAATATGTTGTTTGTTCTGTGAAGTTAGTCCACCTGTAAATGAATAGACAACACACTAACCTTATTCTCTTGGCTGATCACAAGTTGCCTGTTCTCTCCTCTCAGATGCAACTTTTAGAGTTACGCAGAATCATTGAGGAGAAAGAAAACATCGCAGAGATGGCTAAAGTAGAAAATGAGGAGTTGTCCAGAGAAAACCAGGTGATTGCTGTGAATATTGCTACTATTTACTAGTCATTAAATGATACTTTTTTTTACAATAAAGTTAGGGAAGTTTTCTTACCTTGGGGGGTTTCCACTGTATTCCGTCAGGATCTAAAAAGAGATATTGAGAGACTTCGCAAGGAGTTTGCTGCCCTCCAGGCTGCTCCAGTGTCAATGGAGCATCCCAGCCCTTATGGCTCTCCAACTGACCCCACCCCCACTGAGGAGCAGCAGCAAGATGTACTATCTGACTGTCTCCCCTCTGGGGACCACTATGAGACCCCAGGTAATCCCAATTCTCCAGCTGTTGGAAAGCCTCACCTTAATATTCCTCACCTAAATATTCCTGAACGCCACTTGTGCCTCATGGACACGCCTTCTTATAACAAAACATGTTAAATTATGACTGACATATGATTCCGTTTGCAGACACTGCTCCAAACTCCGAGGAGGAAGAGGTATGTAGAGTCATTCCTATGGTATAAATCAGAGGTCCCCAATTACATAAAGCCTTGGGCCGATTTTTCTTTGAGCGGATTGTCGGGAAGCCGGAACATAGTTATAAATAATTTGTACACTGCAAATTGACCTCAAGAATCCCAAACAGATATAGTATTTGACAAAAACAGAATAATTTCAAACCTTGATTACATTGGGATACGATCACACATCTATTTATTTAAGCGTGGGAATACTTGGGAACAGATTTCCTAAATTAAAATCACTTTGAGCTGATTTCCTTCTTTTACAGTCTTAGATGTTTTTTAGGGGATCAGAAAAATCACAGCCAGCCTATTGGGGAACCCTGGTATACATGGTGTAAAGGCAGTTTATATGTTTCCAACAACATACACTAGTGACTTGGGATCGAAGGATTGGTTTCATAATGCTTTATGCACAATCATTTCTGTGCTACACTATAGTTAACTCTGTCCAGTCTATCTGATGTTACCACTTACATTGCCTTCAGAAAGTTAGTTAAAAATGAAAAGCTGAAATGTTTTCAGTCAATAAGTATTCAACCCCTTTGTTATGGCAAGCCTAAATAAGTTAAGGAGTAAAATTGTGATTAACAAGTCAGATAATAAGTTGCATGGACTCACTCTGTGTGCAATAATAGTGTTTAACATGATTTTTCAATGACTACCTCATCTCTGTACCCCACACATACAATTATCTGTAAGGTCCCTCAGTCGAGCAGTGAATTTCAAACACAGGCTTGACCACAAACACCAGGGAGGTTTTTCAATGCCTTGCAAAGAAGGGCACCTACTGTATTGGTACATGGGTAAAAAAAAACAAAAAAACAGACATTGAATATCCCTTTGAGCATGGTGAAGTTAGGCTTTGGATGGTGTATCAATACACCCAGTCACTACAAAGATACAGGCATCCTTTCTAACTCAGTTACCGGAGAGGAAGGAAACAGCTCAGGGATTTCACCATGAGGCCAATGGTGACTCTGATATTATTACCACTTCAGACCTGTGCCTGTCCCATAGTTGTCCTTGGAGTGTCGTCACTGCCACGAGTGGTTCCCTGGCATCACCCAGGATGAGCTGGAGCTACATGAGGACAGCCACAGAGTGCGCCCCTTCTGTACCCTCATCTGTAACGGAATGGAGCTGACTATATTTGAAGACCACGTCTTCAGCCAAGAGGTGTAGAGATGCCACATCCTCACAACCCATTATACAGAGAGTTGCTGAGAGTAGACTAAAGCTGATACTCTGCTGATTATATTCATAGGCGTTTGCTGCCCTCCAGGCTGCTCCAGTGTCCATGGAGCATCCCAGCCCTTATGTCTCTCCAACTGACCCCACCCCCACTGAGGAGCAGCAGCAAGATGTACTATCTGACTGTCTCCCCTCTGGGGACCACTATGAGACCCCAGGTAATCCCAATTCTCCAGCTGTTGGAAAGCCTCACCTAATATTCCCTCACCTAAATATTCCTGAACGCCACATGTGCCTCATGGACATGCCTTCTTGAAAAATAACAAAACATGTTCAATTATGACTGACATATGATTCCGTTTGCAGACACTGCTCCAAACTCCGAGGAGGAAGAGGTATGTAGAGTCATTCCAATGGTATAAATCAGGGGTGTCAAACTCACATCCTGGAGGGCTGTGTGTCTCCTGGTTTTGTTATTTCCTTTCAATTAGTGTCCAATTAAGACCTAGACAACCAGGTGAGGGGAGTTCCTTACTAATTAGTGACCTTAATTGATCAATCAAGTACAAGGGAGGAGTGAAAACCTGCAGCCACTCAGCCCTCGAAGACTGGAGTTTGGCAGCCATGATATACATCATGTGTCAAACTCATTCCACGGAGGGCCGAGTGTCTGCTGGTTTTCGCTCCTCCCTTGTCCTTGATTGATGAATTAAGGTCACTGATTGGTAAGGAACTCCCCTTACCTGGTTGTCTAGGTCTTAACTGAAAGGAAAAACCAAAAGCCCGCAGACACTCGGCCGTCAGTGGAATGAGTTTGCCATCCCTGGTATACATGGTGTAAAGGCAGTTTATATGTTTCCAACAACATACACTAGTGACTTGGGATCGAAGGATTGGTTTCATAATGCTTTATGCACAATCATTTCTGTGCTACACTATAGTTAACTATATCCATCTATCTGATATTACCACTTCAGACCTGTGCATGTCCCATAGTTGTCCTTGTAGTGTCGTCACTGCCATGAGTGGTTCCCTGGCATCACCCAGGATGAGCTGGAGCTGCACGAGGACAGCCACAGAGTGTGCCCCTTCTGCACCCTCATCTGTGATGGAATGGAGCATGCTATATTTGAAGACCACGTCTTCAGCCATTAGGTGTAGAGATGCCACATCCTCAAAACCCATTATACAGAGAGTTGCTGAGAGTAGACTAAAGCTGATACTCTACGGATGATGTTTCTAACAACCCATCTAGAACATTATAAAACAAACATTTATATCCCCCTGTTCATAAATGTCCTCTTGTCTAAGACTGTCCATTCTTAATTTCAGTCTTAGAGTAGAGATTTGCCTCCATTGCTGGTCAATAGGAATGTATTGCTTTGCTATTTAATGGTTTCTCTATTGTTATAATCTCTGCTCAACTAGCCGGTGCCCCCGCACATTGACTCTGCACCGGTACCCCCCTGTATATATAGCCTCCCTACTGTTATTTTTTATTTTACTTCTGCTCTTTTTTTCTCAACACTTTTTTGTTGTTTTATTCTACTTTTTTATTAAAAATAAATGCACTGTTGGTTAAGGGCTGTAAGTAAGCATTTCACTGTAATGTCTGCACCTGTTGTATTCGGCGCATGTGGCCAATAAAATTTGATTTGATTTGATTTGAACTGTGTTTACTTTGGCTTATTGCACTATACTGACTCTCTCCCCTTAAACCTGATGCTAATATATTTACCATGTGTTGCATAATAGAGTCAAATGATTAATGGCCAAATGATTCATGCCCAAATGATTCATGGTCAAATGATTCACGGTCAAATTATGCCCTCTGATATTGCAACAGTGGAAATGGGATTAATGTGTTTTCCTCTCCACAATCACTGAAGGGAAGCAATATCATGTTTATCTACCCTGCAAGTTATATTATAAACTGGGTGGGTCAAGCCCTGAATGCTGATTGGCTGATAGCCATGGTATATCAGACCGTATACCACGGGTATGACAAAACATTTATTTTTACTGCTCTAATTACGTTGGTAACCAGTTTATAATAGCAATAAGGCATCTCGGGGTTTGTGATATATGGCAAATATACCACGGCAAAGGGCTGTGTCCAGGCACTCTGCGTTGCGTCATGTCTAAGAACAGCCCTTAGCCATGGTATATTGGCCATATACCACACCTCCTCAGGCCTTATTGCTTAAATATACACCCCACTACAATTCAGGACGTTCCCAAAAAGGCACACATTGTTCATCAACAAGACCCCCCAAAAATAACAAAAACTTAACGCGTCATCTGATTGGCCTCCTCAGGTGTGAGCACTTAACCCTAATTGCTCCTGTAAGTCGCTCTGGATAAGAGCGTCTGCTAAATGACTCAAATGTAAATGTAAATGTGTGACATCATGGGAAGTCAGCTCAGAGAGGAAGTCAAAATGGGCAATATCAAAATCGGAAAAATTCATGAAAACAAAAATGTGCTTTTTGGTCTTAATTTAAGGTTAGAGTTAGGCATATGCTTAGCAGTGTGGTTAAGGTTAGGGTTAAAATGAGATTTTAAAAAGAGAAATGGTAGAAATAGGAGGGGTTTAGCCATAATGATGACTTTGTAACTGTGGTAACTAGTGACTACCAGAGAGGAGGGTTCTGACTAGGTGGAATACAGCTTAGACCGGAAGTGACTTTTTCGTAGCAGGTTAGGAGAACTTACGCAGCAGGTTAAAAGGATTAGGTTAATATTAGGAAAGGGTTAGGGTGAGCTAAATTGGTCTCCTGACCTGCTACGAAAAGTAACTTCTGGTCGTAGCTGTACTCCGTCTAGTCACAACCAGAGAGAAGGGCTGCAGCAACCAATACTGTGGCTCTCCAGAAGCTTGGGAATCCAATGCATGTAACCTGATCAGTCATTAATTAGGCTAAATGACTTGACAAAAATGTCTGTTAGTTATTTTGCAAGCCTAATTTATCTGTAAAGAAACGTTCAGCAGCTAGAACACAGAGCGCAGCATCCCAAATAACACCCTATTCCCTTTATAGTGCACTACTTTTGACCAGGGCCCTGGTCAAAAGTAGTGCACTATAAAGTGAATAGGATGCTCTTTGGGATGTAACCCAGTGACATATGTTTGTTTGCCATTATATCATTGAATAAGAACTAAGAGAATGTAGCATTTATGTAATTAATATATAAGAACTCAAGACTACAATAGGTAGTAGGTATGCATGGGGGGGCGGGGATATCGTGAGTTATAATGATAGTATCTTCTGTTTATATGTGCGAACCACTGAAATGTTTGTTTGCGTTTGTTGATAATGATATTGTACATCGGTTCCACTGTCTATCCTTCCTGTTCTCTTCAACCAGTGTCATGAGCCCCGTTTATACCTGGTTCTAACATGCGTCCTTTGTCCTGATCTTGTCCACTTTCTGACCTTTTCAGACAGGTGTAGATGATTAAAAGACACATTGTGATCTGATTGTGATCAGATCTTCCTGCCAACCTCTGGAGGTAGTTAGGCACACATTGAATATGGCACAAGATCAGGAAACAGGACACAGGTAACACCAGGTATAAATAGGGCCAAGATCTGCCTGATCATCATAATAATAATATCAGTAATACTATTATGGGAAATATCCATCAGAAATATCATATTGAAGAAAGAATAAAAAATTTAAAAAACATTTGTCGAAGCACCCTCTAGCCAAGTGCATCTGAAAAGGCACCCTATTCCCTATATCAGGGTAGGCAACCCCGTTCCTGGAGTGCTGCAGGTACTGCATGATTTGTTCCAACTAGGCACCACACCTGACCAACTGAGATAATTAATCAGTTCAGTGGTCTTCCAGGTCGGTTAAATCAAAAACATGCCTGCAGCTCTCCAGGACCAGGGTTGCACTTTTGACCAGGGCCTATAGGAGAGCAGCAGCTCTGGCTCTCATGCCCCCAAAAGACAAGAAGATGGCGTGTGGGTTCTCCCTCTGTAGATCGCAGGGGTGTCCAACCCACCGTAGGGCCCTGGTCTAAAGTAGTGCACTATAAAGGGAATAGGGTGCCATTTGGAACACACAGTCTGACATTTTATATAGAAAAGGAGGAATGAGGAGAAGATAACAACCCTGGTTCATTTTTCATAACGTTTGTATTGTAGTGGTTAAGAGCGTTGTGCCAGTAACCGAAAGGTCGCTGGTTCTAATCCCCGAGCCGACTAGGTGAAAAATCTGTCGTGTGCACTTAACCCTAATTGCTCATGTAAGTCGCTCTGGATAAGAGCGTCTGCTAAATGACAAAATGTCAAAATGTATTGTACTAATTACTGTGTCTAGTAGGGATTTCTGTTAAGTTGGGGTTTTGTGACAAATCGTTTTAGAGGAAGGCCCAATGTGGAACTCAGTCCAAAAACAAGCTCTAACCACAACCCCTTGGAATAAGTCCCAAAGGGCGCACTATTCCCTTTCCAGTGCACTACTTTGGACCAGTAGGGAATAAGGTGCCATTTGGGATGCACTCCTTCCCCTCCCCTAGTGGGCCAGACATCATTTTAGACACTAGTGTAGATCTAAAGGGATTGGATAAGTGTTAGCGAGATATCTCTAACACCTGTACAATGCTCCTAGTGTCTACGGGCTAGGTGTTAGGAGAGAAGTGTCTTGGAGCTAGGCTAGGGGTTGTTTCTGGACTGGTCCATGCAATTGGGCGCTTTGGTTTAGAAAACTAATGCAAACAGAGAAGAAAGTAGAGAGGAGAGGAGGGAGGAGAGTAGAGGAGAGTAGATGAGAGACGTGAAGAGAGAAAGTGATGAGAAAATATGTAGGATGAGAGATGAGTAGAGGAGGAGAGATGAGAGGGAGGAGGGAGGAGAGTAGGGGAAAGGAGAGGAGAGAGGGAGTAGATGGTAGGAGAGTAGAGGAGAGAGGAGAAGAGGAGTGTTACGATGACATCAGCATGTCTTCCTGGAGGACCAGTGGAATTCTGGGTAATCTAACTGTGGGTCTCCTCCTCGCCACATCATTCATACTTTCTTTATCGTTCTATCTTTCTTCCTTTTTCTTTGTTTCTTTTGTAAAAAAATTTTATTTTAGGGAAACGATAGTAAACGACTGTTGCAGTTCTGATAAGCATCTGATGTGGGTGTGGCTAGCTTGTTGTCAGGACTTCAAAATGAGGGGTGTCGTACAAAATAAGTAATCAGCGATTGGATCATCTCGAACAAATCTAACCAATTAGAGTATCAAAGTTGATCATGTCAACATGTAGGCCGGTTCTGGCCCAACCCACCAGTTTCTGGGACCAATCCCAACAGTCAGAATTAGTTTGCGTTCTAGAAATCGTCAGGGAGGGTGTCAAATCCAAACTCACTTTGGAGAAGAAATGTCAGTTGGCCGGAGCGATGTCAATGGGTAGCTAGGCTATCCATCCTTCTACAAAGCACTGATCTGACATGACTTGTCTGGTGGAATCTGTACTGACGCTCTGAATTTACGAATGCAAAGAGCGCACTCTGAGCTCACTTTGGACTTTGGCACTCCAGAGTGAATTTAGAACACACCCTAGGTTGGAGAGGCTGGAACAGTGATCTGTCATAGAGGAAGGATGTATTTTTCTAAATACTGAAGAGAGTTACCCTACACATAGCCTGTGTGTTGTCTAAATTAGGCCAAATCTTAATGTTATTTTGTAATTACATCATTTTCCAATTCATTTATTTTGTTTTTCACATCATAATAAACAATGCTTTCTCAAATAAATCTGTTTCATGCGCAAGTTACCAGTGAAAGACTTGCTCGACGCTCACCGGGACGTTCGCTCACATTCCGGAACGAAACTGGGGTGTATTCATTAAGAACGAAACGGAAATAAACGGGCAAAACGGGGAGGGACTAACCTGAGAAACGCTTGTTTTCGTTGCAAAACGTTGTGCTACGCTATGGACGTATGAAGTCAACCCTGGCAGGTACAGTTTTGCTCTCGCTTTCCTCCTCTGTTCTCTCATATATTCTACTCTCCTCTTCTCTGTTTGCATTCGTTTTCAAAACCAAAGCGCCCAGTTTTAGCTACTACAACACCACCACGTTCAGTAGCCAAACGTTGTCGATATGAGTAGCTTAGAGCCGACGCTATTCCATATGATAGAGTGAGACGTGGTATC